ACTCGAGAGGGAGGGCGGCGGGGAAGGGGGAGAGGGGTGGAGGGCGGGAGGGAGGGAAGGAGAAGAGGGAGGGCGGTGGGGGAGGGGGAGAGGGGTGGAGGGGCGGGAGGGAGGGAAGGAGAAGAGGGAGGGCGGTGGGGGAGGGGGAGAGGGGTGGAGGGCGGGGAGGGAGGGAAGGAGAAGAGGGAGGGCGGTGGGGAAGGGGGAGAGGGGTGGAGGGGCGGGAGGGGAGGGAAGAAGAGTAGAAGGAGGAAGAGGGAAAGAAGGAGAGGAAAAGGAGGAAGGGGAAGCGGTTAACGAGGAAGAGGAAAGTAGGGAGAAGGGTACAGATCAAGAATAGGAGAAAGGATAGGAGGGGGAGAACTACGAATGATGGAGGAAGAAGGAAGGGATAGAGAGGAAGAAGAAGGAGGAGGAGGAGGAGGAGGAGGAGGAGGAGGAGGAGGAGAAGGCGGGCTGGAGGGAAGAAAAGGAGAAGGAGAATGGATGGAGAAGGAAATTAGCTACCCATCTACTTATCTATCTATCTCTCTTCCGTCTTCGCGTTGATTTTCTTCTCTCTCCACGCAAGCACCGTTTTCTTTCACAAGTAGCCGCGCCCTCGTCCAAGGTATATCGGCCTTATCTGTGTCTTTTTTTATCGCATTCCTACTTCTCCACGACGCCCTTTCTGTATCTACCGATGTCGTCGCTCTCTCTCTCTCTCTCTCTCTCTCTCTCTCTCTCTCTCTCTCTCTCTCTCTCTCTCTCTCTCTCTCTCTCTCTCTCTCTCTCTCTCTCTCTCTCTCTCTCTCTCTCTCTCTCTCTCTCTCTCTCTCTCTCTCTCTCTCTCTTTCTCTCGCATTCACTTACTCCTACTCACTGTCATTTTTCCGTCTGTTTATCTATCAACATCTACCTCTCTTTGTCTGTAGATAGGTAGATAGAAAGGTACAGCTATATGTATAGATAACCCCATACTATATATTTCCATTTCCTTGTTTAGCTTTTTCCTTCGCTATTCATCAATCACAGTTGTAATTTTGTCAATGAATTGTAAAAAATAATGAGGCAGTAGAATAAACAGAAAAGGATAACAGTACTAGAAATGAGAAGAAGGAAGAAGAAAAAGAGGAAGATATAGAAGAGGAGGAAGAAGAGAAAAAGAAAAAGAAGAAGAAGAAGAAGGAGAAGGAAAAGAAAGGAAGAAGAAGAAGAAACAAGAACAAAAAGCAAAGCATAATTCCTATCAATTTGCATGATATTAGAGCAGTGTAATTGCCAGCATAATGAAATGATCAACTGTGCTGTTCACCTGCGCTTTTAGAGTTATCAATCACCGCACGAGGAATGGCTGGTTTAGACTAGTCTCACCTACTGTTATATACAGAGAACAGATAATGCTCGCAGGGTATACTTAATATAATCAGTGGTTGTCGGCGTAGACTTGGCCCTCCCTTACCTCCTCCCCCCCTCCCCCTCTTCGCCTCTCTCCTCTCCACTCTCCCCGACCCTTCTCTCCCTGCTCCCTCTCTCTCCTCTCCCCACCCCTTCCCCGCTTTCTTATCCCTCTCGGCTCTTCCTGTCTCCTCATCCCATCTTCCCTTTGGTCCTTCGTCCTCCTCCGCCCTCTTCAACCCCACTGCTATGTTTTTTTCCCTTATGCTCATTTCATCTTTTGTTGGCACACCTGCTGTTCCAAGGCGTTCCACGGGGCAGGTGGGCACGCGGGAGGGACGCGCCACTGGGCTAGGAGGCCGTCAGGGCAGCACTGCACTTCAGGTCCAGGGCTTCAGCGGGTGATGAATGGGAGGCCTTCTGTCGCCAGTTGCGTCGCCTCTCTCTCTCTCTCGCTCTCGCTCTCTCGCTCTCTCTCGCTCTCTCTCGCTCTCTCTCGCTCTCTCTCGCTCTCTCTCGCTCTCTCTCGCTCTCTCTCGCTCTCTCTCGCTCTCTCTCGCTCTCTCTCGCTCTCTCTCTCTCTCTCTCTCTCTCTCTCTCTCTCTCTCTCTCTCTCTCTCTCTCTCTCTCTCTCTCTCTCTCTCTCTCTCTCTCTCTCTCTCTCTCTCTCTCTCTCTCTCTTTCCCTCTTTCTCTTTTTATTTCCTACTTTTCTTCTTTACGATCTTCGGGGGCACGCAATAATTCTTCGAGATGATTCTAGGGTACGGACGCGGGGATCCAAATCATGTTTTATCACATGAGATTGACGATGGATCCAACGCATACCCCCCTCCCCCTCCTCCCCCCTCCCTCCATTTGTCAGTCAGGGAGAGAAAGAAAACGAACAATAATCACAGGATGCTTTACTTGTTTTAGTGTTCCTCCCCCCCTCCCCCTCTCTCTCTCTCTCTCTCTCTCTCTCTCTCTCTCATCTCTCTCTCTCTCTCTCTCTCTCCTCTCTCTCTCTCTCTCTCTCTCTCTCTCTCTCTCTCTCTCTCTCTCTCTCTCTCTCTCTCTCTCTCTCCCTCTCTCTCTCCTCTCTCTCTCTCTCTCTCTCTCTCTCTCTCTCTCTCTCTCTCTCT